AGCGGCTCGTGTGAGGTTGGTGGGAATTGTAGTTTCCTTTTAGCCCCACCCTCCCCCTTCCGAGCGCCAGATGTCACAGTCCCGCGAACTACACCCTGGGAGTTGTGGTCCGTTCAGGGCCAGCCTCTGCCCGTCCCGTCCCCGAACGGGCTCTGACTTCTGTCTGCTGCTGAAATCCCCATTTGGGCTTCTTGGGACGTGGAGGGAGAAATGTCTGCTCATGCGGAGGAGGAGGAAGAGGTCCAGGGCCTCTGGCCGGGCTTGCGTCATGAGGAGCCCCCACAATAACGGAGGTTGGCACGCGGGCTGGGTGAGGAGGGCTCAGCCTGCGCGTGGACCAGAGCCAGGTAAAGTGAAGCGAAGGGAGGATTCTTTTAGACGAGCATGCGGGCTAGCCAATGGTTGCACAATGCGCTCCATGGCCCTCAGGGTTGTGGGGTACTGGGGGCAGCTAGGTTGGCTGGATAAGTGTCCGCAAAGCCCGTTCCAACCTGTGTCCTCTGCTTCAGGGGTGCTGGTCAGCTTTCACCTACAAGAGCACATGAGCTCTTTCACAGCTCCCTGCACACATACCCCCATGGATTTCCTGTCTCACCCTATCCCCCAGCAGTGTGCCACCCGATCTGCAAGGGCCCACTTGGAGGCTCAGGGTGGCAGCCACTGCCTAAGCAGAAATAGGTCATGTCACTCTGTACCAGGTTTCATGGGCTTTGGCCTTCATTGAGATATTTGCCTCAGAGTGTGTATCTCCACTCTACCTTCAACCATGGGAAATCACTGTGTAGTTTGGTGTCACTTGCTCTCTGTCAGCCTTACAGGGGGTTTTTTTTTTGGGGGGGGGGGAAGAAACCATTTGCTGTGCTTACACAAAGGTTCTTCCCAATTAACAGGACTTTCACGTCCTGCACTTTATCTCAGGTGCTTCTCTTGGCTTTCCATATCTGCCGTTAAAGGACACTGATACTTCTCTCTCATGAGGTAACTCTTGAGGATGTTCTGCAGAAACTCCCAACAACCCATGGTCACACATAACCCAGACCATCCATGGCTGTGGGCTACAGGGACTCCTTTTCCTCTCTTTGCTTCTGCCTTGTGAATCATGTTTCCCTCCACATAGCATTTCCCACAGCAGAGTCCTTCTGCTTGTCAAGCTGCACCTACTCTATTCTGCATGACATTCTGCCCAGTTCATGCATTAATAATTTTATGTGGTTCTCCATTCACATAGCACTTGCTTTAGGAACATCTACATGATGACTTTCTCCACATCCACAGGCATGCACCACCATCAATAGGCAGGGTCTTGGGCACAGGAAGGGGAGTTGGCCAAGATCAGAGATTGCCCGTTGATGATGTCTCCCCCTGCCTCAGAAGGAAATGGGTCATGCCAGGTTGAGGCTGTGGGTCTGACACTTGTAGGTGGCTCAGCCCAGGCCTCTGATGCCCCAGGGATGCATGCAAGGAGTTCTGCCTGCACAGGTAGGTGTGAGCCAGCATGTAGGGTGCCCAGCACTGATCCCATCTGGTTTCTGGGCATTGGCGGGAGAGTGAAAGAAGCAGGGGAATCCAACCGCTGGGGTTGTGGTAACTGCCATCCGGGCAAAATTGCTTGCCAGCATCATTGCCAAAGCAGAAGAATGGATTGAAAGCCAGACCACAGTTTCTTAAGCGATTTCATTTCTAGCTGGTTTCCGCATGAGAGACAAGCAATTTCAGGACAATGTGCAGAAGAGCCCTGATTCACTCCATTACTTTGTCCATTGTTGCCCCGAAATAGTTGGTTCACATTTCAGAATGCATAAAAATAAATCTACATATTTTAAAGAAGCTGTTTTGTATTCTGCTGATGGAAAGGGGTTTTCTTCATTTCCTTCATTATTTGCTTCAGAATTTGAAATTGCTGTAAAAACTTTTCATGCTAAAGATGAGCTCTTCTCAGGATACAGCCAGGCAGCTTTATTAGCAACAATCCAGATGTGGTCACCGTTCCCTTTTCCAGGATGTTTTTTTTTTTTTTAAATCCAGCCTAGTTAGCTTCATTGGCTAACTTGTAGCTTTACAATTTTCATATGTATTATCCATTTACAAGTCTACAGTAGGGTTAATTTTATGCTATGATTCTACACTAAAACTTTTTAGGTACTGGTTTTCATAATTTTAATTTTGAGTTTGAGCATATACCTTTTTAAATGAAATTAAAAAATAACCCCATCAATCACAATTAGCAAAGATAACTGATATCAATGGCTGAATGGCCATACATTGCCAGTGATGGGTTTCTCATAAATACCTGGCTTAACAACAGAGGAGTCTCCCAGACACTTCTTTAGTCTTCTCCAGTCAGATATCTTGAACTTCAGATGCTAGAATTTCTACTCAGCACAGCCAGTGGGAGTTGAAATCTTACACATCTGAAGGGCACCAGGTTGAGAAAGCTATTTTATCTGTTTGATGTCTCTTTGTGTATGAAGAACAGTGGTTAAACCAATGACATATCACTCCCACTTCTTGTAACAGAAATCCAATCAGTATATTCAAAACATAAATCACAGCACATGTCACCCAATAAAAAGATGTGACCACTAAGTATAAGGACAGAGGAAAGCTTTGAAGGGATGCGTCAGTTTGACAAAAATTTCTTTGAATGACTGCATCAAAAAGATTTACGGATCAAAGTTCAACATAGTGAACTGAATCAGGTGGTTGCAAAGCACTTCACACATTCAGTGGATTATTTGATTCTGGGATTGTTACAAACAACATACAGAATTGCAACTTTACTTCTAGATATGAAGAATGCTGGAGGTGATGAGCTGTCTGATGCAGATATAAGTTACGAGCCAATGAGTTTTATTCTCCAAACAAACCCTGATTATAAGGTTCTTTTGGGTGGACAATCTTGCTTTGGAACTAAGTTTTGTCAACATGCCCTGTCCAGCCTGGCACCCAGTCAAATCCACTGAGATCATTCCTACAATGAGATAAATTTACCGCTAACTAAGTTAACTCTCCAGGAAACCCAGAACACCCTGTGATTAGAGGCAGAAAAGATGCACCGACCCACAAAAGCAAGTCAGTGGTGACTTTTTTTCAGTGGCACCCCAAGCCTGATATCTTAGAAAGAAGTGGAGGTGGGTGGGGAGAGAGGATAAAATCTACCCTCTAAACCAGTGTTTCTCAAGTTTGGCAACTTCAAGATGTGTGGACTTCAACTCCCAGAATTATAAACCATTTTACAAATGTTTATTTTTACATTGGGGTAGGCCACCTTCATGAATTCAGAAAAAAATGTGCTCTTTACTCTAGAATCTGGAGGCTGCTTTGTTGACTTTTCCTCATCCCTGTTACCTGTACCTTTAAAAAGATGGAAGGGGGAGGGTGCTTTTTAAAAATTAAGGCAAAACCTTTTAGGTATCCTGATGAAACCAGGCAGAATTAATGTCCTTTGAAAAGTTCCATCCTTGGTTCTTTCTTTCCATTCTATCAAACAATGAAACTGCTGAAGGCATTTGATGCTTGCCCATTGGAGCCTATGCATGTATCTTTTTTTTTTCAAACTGAATCTCGAATTGCAAAAGAGCCCAGATTGAATTGCTTTGCCCTCGAACCAGAAAGTCAGAATGAATTATGCCCTCTTTGAATCTCCAATTCAAACTGAATCAGGGCTGATTCTTGTAGACCTATTAAGCATCTCTAACACACTTTGTCCATTCATTATTGGTTAACTATAGCACACAGTCTGGTGGAAGAGAGAAAGCTTCTTGGTTTGTGCCATTCTGGGTAGTTACCCAATTTTAGAAATTAAGCACTGAGCCTTCCCAGTATGATCAACAGCCGCATGAAACATTCAAGCCCAGCTCTTTTGAGCATCACAACAGGGCTCTATTTCCTCTCTGAGAACAGCTTCAGCCTCTCTTACCAATTACCAGTAGCAACCAGGCTGCTTTCGATTATAATACCCCCTAACACGGGAATGATAGCAACTCTGATGAGAGAGCTGTAAAAGAAAATAGACCCTCACTTCTGCAAATCGATTCCGCAGGTTTCCAATTTCCCCATTCAGTATTGCTATGGGCTGTGAAATTGACCAGAGCTGTATAAAAATGAAAGTGGAGGAAGAATGGTGGGGCTCCCACCTAGTAAGAAATGACATTCTTGACTGCTTGTCCTCTTCAGCCAGTGGACCCTTCTTCCCTAAAAGCTTTCATGGGGTCAAAGCTCCAGATGCAGAGGCCGGCTGGATTAGGGGATAAAATGAGGCAGTGGAATGGCTAATGGTATCTACTAAAGATACAGCTATTGTAATCTTCTATTTCAGAAAGGGAACTTTTTCCCAATACTGCTGCTTTCTTCTGTAAACTTTCCTATAGGCATAAGAGGGAGATTACAACAAAAGCTGAGATTTTGTCTCTCCCTCCCTCCCCCCACCCCACCCCCCCTTCACTCACAGACGGGGCAGGGACCATCAACTTGCCCATGGGAAGGAACAGGAGAAGAAAATCAAAACATCAGAGCCTGCTTCAGCACCAACTAGGTCTGAATGCACTGGAGTACAATCTCCATTACCTTTAGCCAGCATGACCAACCTCAGTTAGTCTAAAGGCTAAAACGTACTGTCCCTTCCTACAGCCATCACAAAGCATCCCACAGTATGAATTGGGGAACACGGAGCATGGTCTGCAGCATATGGTCTCTGAGCAAGAAGTTCAATCTGTCAGTTTACTGTTTATTTACAAGCTTAGCTCACTTCCTTCAGCTCAGGGTGATCACTGACTGGGTAATTCTGGGAGTTGAAGTCCACACATTTTAAAGTTCCCAAGGTTGGGAAACATTGCTCTAGAGGACTCTTGGCCTCCTGATTTGTTTCAAAATATAAATACCTTACTTGGATGTTAACCGGGGTAATGGGAAAGTAAATGAAGTCCTGCAAGTGCACCACCACCTTCCTTCTTGGAGGGAATTTCCCAGCAAATTCCTTGGAAAGTAAGAAAAGAAAAAGAAAGTCTGGAGCATGGTGCTTTGCTTCCTTGTACTCATGCCAATTGCCTTTAAATAAAAAGTTGGAGGTAGAGAATGGTGCATTGTAAGTTTGAGGTACAAGGAAGGCTATCAAGAGCTGTTCTAGTAATGTTATCTGTTTGTGTGTTTGTGGGGTGGGGGTGGGGTTGTATGAAAGAGAGAAAGCTTCTTTCCATCCTTTTTGTTCAGCATATTTTTGATGTTTATATGTTCTGAGTAGGCCTTTTTTTTGTTCCTCTAAAAGAGAAATAGCACACTTAGGTGACTGATTATGAACTATCTAGTTGGCATTGACTCTTAGCAACCACATAGATAGGTTTATACATGA